TACCAATTTCATTCTTAACTTCCTTCTCGAGTGAGCGGTGTCAATGACTCAGTAAAATGCAGAAACTCATAACTCCGCTCAAAGTCGTCCAAAATGAATAATTTTTTTTTTGATTTTACCCCTGAAATGAGACAAACATGAATATCAAGAAACTTACTGTAAGCAACGAGTTCTTCCTATCATGATCATTTAACATCGAACCTGGTAGAAACCAGTATGAACCACTGCCTCTACTTAACTCATCAACTGAAAAGAACACAATGAAGATCTTACCTGCAGCAGTATAATTGAGTTACTGTACTTCCTGGACAGTTGCGCTCCATCTTAATAAAAGTTATAATGGTTGAATTGCATTAAATCAAATCAACGAATGGCGAGCAGAAGTTGTGAATCTGTACTTGGAAGTTAGAGAACCTCAACTTCTCATTGTTTGAGATCAGGAACAGTAGGTCCTCGTACTGTTCCTGATCACACTCTCTGAGAAGTTGAGCAGAAATGGGTGTCTGAAACGGGAGAGAGTTGGCAACTGTCGCAAATACACACCAGTCACAATACTGAAACAGGAATGTGTGAGGAACAAACTCGGAAATGGTGATATAAGATTTGCAGTGTTTAGGAAACATTGAGGATGATAATCCTTTCGTCCTCTGGGTCGCATGTCCTATTCTGGAATAGATTGCAGAAATTGAGATGGGAAGATATCTGTTTAGAGCAGAGAGAATCTTCATCTCCTGAATAAATAGTATAAATCTGTATGAAGTAGAAAGGGATTCAAACATAAGTACGTATGAATCACTTATGTGTAATCTGACTGACCTCCTTTTTCTCTTCCTATCTCTTCCAGCTATTTCTTTCTCCTCCTCTCTCCTTTCCTTGTTCTCTTTTACTTTCTTTCTATTTGTGATTATGACTTACAATTTTATTCCTCTTCATCCTCATATTCAATATTGTTTATACCCGAGAACGGTATATACGCTGTGTTTCCACAAATAGGAGAAAACCATCATGATCTCCGCGGTTGTCCTGCTGCTCATTCTTCATTTTATTGAAATTAAAGGTTTTTTTTAAATTTTCTTACCTCTATCTACAGTTTTTAAGGTGAATGCTATTCATGTATGAGCAACAGCAATTGGTCATACTATGCCGAACGGATACCAGGTCTAAAGGTGTAGTCCGAATCAGCTGAATGACCTGAACGACCTATTCAGGATTTGAACTTGACAGAACGGCCTCCTCATGCTCCTTTTGCGTGTTCCTTCGACCCAATGCGAGTTTATGCTGATAAAACAGCCGTTTATTGCAAAGGTTTCTGCTATAAATGGGCATCAGGAACCATTTTACCAAACGGTTAGACTCACCAAGAATGTCTTGAAATGTTTGCTTTTCTAGGAAACATGGAGATAAGTGTTCTGCGTGGATGTTACAATCGCTTGATTGACGAAGACTATCATGAATCACCTTCAGACAATCGTTGTTTCCAAACCCCGGATGATTACTCGCACAGGTTCAGCTCTCAACCTAAAGTGAAAAGATAACTTACATAGTTTGCAGAGCACAAGTGGAATACAAAATGGAATGCTTCTGCAAGGGATTCATGTGCAACAACTCACCCGTCTCATTTGTTAATCTCATGATTTGGCCTATCCTATTGTTTTTTCGGTTAATATAGGCTTCATCATCCTTATATGTATAAGGTCAAGCTTTGTATTCTGCCGCGGCACATGTCGTCTGTTGATTTCTATTTATAGTTGAACTTAAGTCACGAAAAGCTGAATACTCCAATTAGGTCATGGCTTCTCCATCTTTTCACAAGTTGTGTCAAACATTTTCCAATAAAAAAATGTCCACATATGTACAACAATCTCTTTTGCCTTATTTGCCATTTAATTTAATTTTCCTTTTAATTTTATTTCAATTCATACTGCTCTCCCTCTCGGCTACAACAAGCTGTAGTCCCCTTCTCTTCATTAAAAAAATCTTTCCGAAAAACATGCCAAGGCTGTTTATATGCATAACTTATCAACTTGACATAACTTTCATCCCAAACTCTTACCTTTCTCACCTTCTGTGTATCCTCTTCTTGCCTTTCCTCCTCCCACCTTATGTCCTTCTCTCCCCTTCTCTCCCTCTCTCTCTCTCAAGCTCTTTCTCAGAAGTGTCAGCTGTTTTCCACATTTCTACAACAAGCAGGCGAGAAAACGAATAACCTGAAGAAGTCTTCAAACCATCTCTCTCCCCTCTCATTTCTATCTTGAATCTTGCCATTTATCACGCGGATAAAACGACATTTGTAGCCGACGTGAAGCGCTTCTCTTCTTTGAAGATGAGACAACCCTTCGAGATGAGAAACTGATTTTTTGCCGACCAAGACCTCACGCGAACATTTGGTTTTGTTAGAATGATTACTTTTCTAACATGATAAATCATATCCTTGTAATATGAATGGGATGAGAGGGAGAGAGAGAGGAGTGATTGTTCTAGAGAGAGAGAGAGAGAGAGGGGAGAAGAGAGTTCTATGGTACTGCTTCGTGTCCTTCCTCCTCTCACTTCTTACTTCTTACTTTCTGAAATGAATTGAATGAATGCGAATCATATATAATCAACTCAACTTTAATCTCGAGAGATGTCATATTGAAATATCAGAAGTATCTGTCAGCTGTGTTTTAATTCTTTTAAACTATGTGACATCTTCACTCATTCTTGTGTTCAAACATCATTTTTTTGCCTGAAATTTAGAATTATTTTCCCTTTTAAAAGCTTCTTAAACCTGTTTGTACTCAAGCTAGACTTCTAGCTAAGATACATATGTAATATTGTATATTAGATTGAAGATATTCGCAGATGTTCCCATGAAAAAGGACAATAAAATCATTTCAAATGATCCATCTGGGCTCATCATCGTCTTCATCATCATCATCATGACAAGACTGAAGCTTGAATAACATCCTTTTCCCCTCTTACCCAGTACCTTCCATCTCTCTTTCTCTCACTCTTCCTTCCACATTCCTCCTCTTTATCATTCTTGTCTCTAGATCTTAGGGTCTTGCTCATCGTCATCCTTTTATTCCACACTGCTTGAACATCTGGAGTTCCCCTTCCCAGTTTGTCAAGATCATCCGAACTTCTCAGAATTGTCAATCTTGACGTTCAGAAGCTTAAACACCAAAATAGATAAGTACCAGAGTCTGATAAAGCAACAACCAACGGCCGCCGGGTAAAGTTTGGTCCTGAATGCACAACTTATTCTTCTTCTTCTTCTTTTCCCATTTTCTCTTTTCTATCGTCCATCTTTCCATCTCCCACAGAGCGTTTTAAGCAGTTGTCCTCTAAGCTTTTCATTTTTTACTTAAGAAGAGAAAAGATTTTATCGTTTTACTCCTTCCAAACGTATTTTTCCTATCGCGATTTGATTTTTTTCGCCTCCATGCCTCTTAACGAATACCCTGGAATTGACCAGCTGTAAGGAAGTGAGAATATTGGTTATATCATAATAATAAAGTGTAAAAAGCAGAAAAACTATAATATTTCGAACTTACCAAGGTATGTGTGGTGATGGATGTTGAACGACGAAAGCCAATCAGATATATCATTCATTAGCTATTGAAATTGAAACTTTTGTTGTTGTTTGTTAGAATGACGTCTTCTTCTCTACTGTTGCTTCTTCATCTTCTTCTTGTTCTCAAGTTAAAGATCATAGTTCCATTGAAAACAAAATCTCATTGTGGGTAATTGAAACACACGATGAGACATCTCCAGAAAGAACTTTGTTGTCTGCAAGAATGTCATTTAAATTTCCAGCATACTCACTTATTTTCCTCTTGACAAAAAAAGATATCAGAGTTCATCCTGATCTGAGAAAACACATTCCATGCTTCTCCTTTAGTCTTTCCTACTCATCTCGTATTTCATGTCATCATTCTATGCTTCTTGAAACTTCAGTCTTTAGATTCGTCTTCCAGCTATGATCTTCATTAATACTCGACCTGTTGATGAGAATGCTACCAATGAACGGAGAGCTAGTAAGACTGTTTCTCACAGCTCCAATCATAACATGATGGATCAACGGAAAGTTAACATGACGGTAATAGAATAACTTGTCACAAAGATATGAATCTGTACTTTACAGAGGCTAGTCTTATGCTTGTTGCTGTTTTACCTCTTCGTTAGTATCTTCCCCGTCTTTCTTTTCTATCCCATTTCCCTTGTGTCTCTATTTGTACCGACGTTCCTTCTTTTCTTCGCCCTGTGCAAGTTTCGAACTGAGAACCGTTCGGATCAATGGCCCTGTATCATGGTTGCGGTAATTTGAAAAACCAACAGATTGTTATAAATCATGTTTGTTTCAGTTCATCGGGATCATGCTTAAAATAGCAGCAATCATAGTCTTCCTAATGATCTTCCCATCAACCGACAAAAAACACATGAGTGCAGTCCCAATGAACCGACAAGGTACGATTCAGTTCCCCCTGTCCTGCTATAAATAATAATTTAAAGTGAAAGAAGAAGAAACAATGAAACAATACAGAACTGCTTTCTTCGTTGTCGTTTTATGCATTGAAGTAAGTGAATCCATTCTCTCTCTTCTCTCATATTTTGCAGATTTTTATACTGCTGATAGGAGGATGCCTTAAATGGCATTTGGTTGCTTTCGAAAAAATGGAGCACGACGCTAAGCAAAGAGTAATTCCCCCAAAAAAAGCCTGAAAGAAAAAGCATTGAAATCTGTTACAGAGACACACTCTCACGTCCAATAGACCATTAATATCCGAACAAACAAGCCGACGTCAGAGTCATAGCTGAACATCATCCGGACCGCCGAACAATTCATAAAAGGATCTCAATTCCTTCACACCTCAATTTTCCACATTAAATTGTATAAAACTATCAACTTCAAACCTTCATCTCAGAGCTTGCCCAGTTATCGAATCATTCACTCGCGTTATATAACGACTGATTTGCATATTCTCCTTTTAACGTGACAGCTCCCTGATCATTTTCAAACCATTTTATTTGTGCAGTTGTAAATGAACGGTTGTACTCATTCTCTGTCCTCAACCTCTTTTTGTATTCCAAAGACAAAAACCAACATTTCATTGAAGCTCACTACGAATAGCTCACAAATCAATAGTACTCGTTGCCATGACAGCAGTTGTTGCTGACCAAAGGCTGTGCTCGTTGAAATCTTCAATTATTGTTGACTTCTTCCTCGTTTACTTGTATTCTCAATCAAAATCCGCACTTCATCGCCGTCATAACATTTTACGAATCGTAGAACGTTGAGATGTCTGAGATTAAGGAAGAACTTACTTACGATGACTGCATGGTCTTCCACGAGCAAGATTGGGCTCCTATTTTCTGCAAACCAAAGCTTTTACCAATGAAAACTTACACTATGGAGAAATTGCAAAATATGCAGAAACAAGCTCAACTCCAGATGAGAGCATTGGAGGAGGAAGAAGAAAATCTTCGAAATGAACCTGAACATAATGAAACCGTCCCCAATAGTGCTCGAGTAAGTCTTTCACACTCTTCCTGCTTTATAGAAAACATTATTCAATTTGGTGCATTTCAGAGTGTAAGTCCAGAAGAAAATCAGTCTGCAAAACAGCCAGTGCACACCGAAGTTTGGTCGGCAGATGATTAATCCGTACAAGAAATAAGAAAAATATTTTGAAGTTACTATCTTTCGTCACGTTTTTGTATTTTCCCAATCGCGATTGAATGCTGCATGTTTCGTTTGAGTAAATGGTTTTCTCGTACACATAACACGTACCAGCGTACCTCATTTGCATAATGTGAAAGCGTCATACCCCACGCAAACCACGTAAATTCATTTACAAGTGTACAGACAACATAACCGGTTGAAGCCAGAAAAGCCAAGTTGGAACAACGATATTAAAAAAAAGATTTATTCCTTATACGATCATTTTCGATTTCTTTATATCCATGTGCTCTATTCTATTGAGATCTTAAATTAATTTAGAAATATAGGCCACATCAGATGCACTCTGAGTCCTTATACATGAGTATATTACAACAACAGATTTAAAATTTCGTGAAAGGCCGAAAAAGGCTAGGGAGTATATACATCAATATGCTAGTTCTAATCACGATAGGATTAAACCTAGTATATATGTACGTATTATTAAAATTCTGTTATATACAATTCTGGTCTTTTTAAAACAAAACATGACAAGAGAAAGAGTAAAGAGGACAAAAAGTAACGAGATGGAGGATAAAAAGAATTGAACGCTCAATCGAAACCAGAACCGTAGTTGTAACAGTATAGGTCACCGGTTATTAGAATGGCTAATGAACTTAACTATCTACATGACTACAGAGATATGAACCGGAAAAGAATTAGCCCATTTTGAAAACACACGGAAAATAACCTGTACGAGGAAAAAACGAGTGTGGGGAGAGGGAGCAAAAAGTACACCTCGCTCTCCCGACGATATAGAACAAAATTTAAACAAAGAAAGTAAAATTGAAAGTTAGTAATTAGCCAATAGGAGCTTGTGCTGATCTATCGCCTTTTACTTTTGAGCTCATGAGGTGAGACGAGCAGATGGGGGACTGGTCTACCACAACGGTAAAAACTTGATCAAAAATTGATGGGTAAACACAGAAAAAGGAAAAAAGTATGTACAAAAGTAGGTAAAAAGCGATGTCATTAATGAGCACAGCACTGAAGGCAGTCAAGTGAGGAGTGAAAGATTAGGGCATGGTAAGAAACAAAAAATTCAACCATACGGCAAATTACACTGAGCAGTAGAGGAGGAATTAAAGAAAGATGCAAGATGATAAATTCCCGGGTAGGTCAACTGTACAAAACATAATATACTCTTAGGATAGAACATATGTCAGAGCTATGATAACAATCTAGAGGAACAATAAACATACAAAATAACATATTTACAAACCATTCGGACTTCGAAACACTTCAAGTCACTTAGCTTCATGCGTTAGAACGCAATAGGAAACCGAACATACGGTCCATGAACTTTAAAGTTTGCGACTGATCTTGATTAGGCTGAGCCTGTGTTTCTGCCAAAGGAGAATTGAACGTTGTTATCCTGTGCAGCGAACGGTTTCCTATACAGGCAAGTATTATGATTCTGTCACGCTCGGCTTAACTCACCGTTTATATTACCAGTACTGTTTTTTCTGTAATGTGTGAACGCTTGCTCTGAAGCTGCACGTGGTAAACCGGGGAGGGTGGATCCTTGCGTGGCGCTGATACAAGTAAACACTAAGAGTCTGTAATGAGGATAATGCGCGGTGTCCATTTGAACGGATTGTTACCCATCCACATGTTTGTAATGAACACGAGCCTGTCCTTTCTTATGCTTGAAAGTGAACTGCCGATTTTGCGAGCTCTGGAACATAGGACTCAATGAACCAGATGGGGGAGGAGTAGGAGGACGCCAATCAGATTCCCACTGAAGAAACAAAAGAATGTGGGTGTGATAACATATGGACAGATGCTTACTTCAACATTTCTTCCGGGACCAGAGATCTCATGCACAAAATCAATCACTGATAGAGAAGCAGCATCAAACGTAATTGTATCAAAAATTCGAGGAACTGGTGTTGCTCTCCATTCACGGATGAAGTTTGCAAGAGAAGCAGGTGTCATTTCTGAAGCACCTGTCACTGATAATCGAAGAAGTTTTCTGAAATCAAGTATGTACTTTCATCTTCAATCAGTAAAATCTTACTCAGAAGATGATTTAAGCCATTTTGTCAGAAGTTCTGGAGTTACAGCGAAAGCCGCCCGCTGACCCTGAGCCATTAAAGAGATAAGGAAGTTGCAAAACCGGAAACTTACGGGTTGAATGACATTCAACTCTTCCAAGTCATCCATATCAAGAACTTCATGAAGTTTAATACGAGAGTCAGACTGCATTCCGTCAAAAGTTAGTCGAGAAATCTTATAAGGCAATCTGATATTAGCAAGTATTCTGACCTTCTAAAAACAAAAAGACTTACAGCTTCAAAAACCAAAACAGGAGAAGCGTCGGACGATGAGGATAACAAGAATGATCTCGAAACACTATGTGTGAAGGGTTCATAAGGGACAAGGCTTTTATCAATCTTTCAAGTCTCCCAGCTGATAGCTGTGACATCATACTGGATGCCTAAAGATTCTTACGGTAAGATAAACAACAGGTTCACGAACCTCGTCATCCAGTACTGCATGTTGTTCTTGAAAGTTAGCAGATTGGCTCGAAGGTAATCGGTGATAAGCTGTATTTCCTTCGGTCGGTCCAACAGTATTTGGACCACCCGTTGGAGAACGAGAATCGCCAGACCAGGGGGGCGTTAGCTGAATTACAATAGTCAAAAGATATTTCTCAAGTTTACAACCATCGTATTCTGTGGGTTACCTCCCCTGCGACTATCTAGTGAACCAGGGCTACCTTCCATTTCCATTTTACCATGTTCTCGGTCAAGAAACGAACAAAAGTTTTGGAAACACAGCTATAAAATGAAGCAACTAAGTAAGGGTCACAGCAGCAATGAAAAATACCTCTTCGATACTATATTGGTCAATCCAATGATTGAAATCGAAACGATAAGCCCAATGATTACTTGAAGTGTCAGCGTATTGCTCGGCCAAAAATATGTTGGGAGGTATCTTAAAGAAAAATCCGTTTGCGAACATTCTCAAATTAGTCTCCTACCTTCCCAGGATCACAAATTTGGAAACCATTGTGCGTGGACAATTTTCTATCTATCACCTTCTCCAGAATAGCTCTGAAGGTTATTCGAAGGATTATATAATGTAAAAAAAGCAAAGAAAAACCTTCGTCTATCGCAAATGAATAGGCGGGCACAATCCTCTTGCTTGTGACCAGGCAAATAAGGAGCAGAGGAAGAGTCAGAAGACTGACTATCCGGAGAACCAACGACTACCTGCGGCACGTCACATCCGGATGTGCAAGAAATCTTACGACGACTGTAAAATTAATCAGTAAAGGTGACAAATGTTATCTGCAAGAACTTACACATCGTCATTGCTGTGCAAATGGGAAAGGGCACTATCAGCGGTAGGAGACTTTTGTGCTAAACGAGCTTTAATATTCAAAAAGCTCATTGCAACTTAGAGATGAACAACGTACATAAGCCAATCTACAAAATAATGAAGTTAGATAATGAAATTCATGGAATTTAGAATAAAGAAATGAAGAAGCAATTTAAAAAGGCGGGAATGCGTATTCAATGAATTGCGTACGAAGTATTGTGAAACAGGGTACCGTAACGTAACGTCCGGAAATCGCCAATTTATGATAAATGTGTTGATTCAAAAGTAATTGATGATATTGAAAGCGTTGAAGAAGAAATGGGAAGACAATACTGTGAGAAGAGCTGTGAGATGATGATGTCCTTCAAACTGTGTAGATGAAGAACAAGGAAAGGCGGGAAAGAACATGATCTAGATGGAGACACACGACGGCACACTGCTGACTGTAGTAGCCATAGTGTATGAAAAAAAAGATCATAAAAAGCGTGTAGAAGACGATTAATTGAATGGAAAATGATAGGAATTGTCGTGAAGCTGGCACCAAAAAAGGAGAACAAAAATCTAGCGCTCAGTTTCAGCTTGTTTGTGCCAGCTGTCCTTAGACTCAAAAAAAATGTGAGTAAAACGGAGGAAGCATTCAAGAAAGAGGTCAAGCGGCTTAAAAGATGACATAAACAGGAAGCGAACAGTCAATTCAAAGCATTCAGAGCTCTCAAACAACATGATTTAAGCTGTTTTTCCTCATGCAGCCTGGAACGCATGAGCCTCTCTAGTGGTGAAAGTTTATGAGAAAGATATGAGAAACTAATGACCAATACTCGGAATAGCAAAGTTCTAAGAAAACTAATCAAATATGGAAAGTTCAAGCGGAAATGAGAAAACGAGATGTGGACAGACATGTTCGACCGAACTCTCACGATTTCGAAAATGAGAATCACGTAAACTTTTCCACGTGGAAAGCTACGTTTCACGTGGGTGCCACACCTCACGTGAACTACGTGATATGTTCATCCGCTGATGATAATTAGGAGAAGAGAACTCAGAGAGGAAAAAAAAAAGAATAAAAGAATCAATACATAATAAAGCTAATTTCAAATTCCACATTTGTTTTTTTGTTTTCAGGGGACTCTGTCTCTCTCGCTCTTTCTCTCTCTTTCGCTCCCTCAAAGTAATTTAAATTGGAAAATTTTGGAAAAAGGGGATATTTACTTGGATTTAATCATAAGGGGAAGCTCTTCGTTATCTAGACAAGGAACTTCATGTCTGTTTATAGGCAAATGAGATATTATGGTTTGGTACAAACAATGTTCGAGCAAATGGAATCAAAAGCCGTAGTTAGAAGAAACCTATTTCACACCTGTTTTCAGTTTCTCTCTCCCTCTATCACTCTCTCTATGTAGTAGAGTAAGTTAAGAGATTGAGAGAGTGGAAGACTGATGTAACTACATGGATGTACTCTCAATGGGAGAGATCTCTTTAAGGAAATGGAATGGCTGTTCAAAGGATTACAGTGGTTTTTGGCTTTTCGTTCATTTGCGGGGTAGACAGAGGGAGAGTTTCAGGAAAAAAACGTAATGAGAGAGAGAGAAAGATAGGGTTGAAATGATAAATTAATTCATCGGAGATCATATGAATAATTAAGATGAAATAAGAAAAGCTTCAAAATGTATGGGCCAGTCGTTTGATATTCATGTAAATCTTGACAGAAGGAAGTGAAAGGGAATGAAGATTATAATGTACTTTGAGAGTGAAATCTCCAATTTAACTATATATTATGCATATTTATATTTATAACTTATAGGTTATAGAAGAACATATGAGAATACACTATTACAGAGAGAAAGAGAAGAGGAGAGAGAGAAAGAGAGAGAGAGAGGAATGGTTAAGAAAGAATGAATGAGAGAATGAAATGAAAGACAACCGTTTGGCACGCGTGCGAAGGGGCAAAATGAGATCAGTATGACGTATTCTATACGTGACGGTGTATATACTATACTATGCTAATTATTTTTTTTCGAAATAAACGGGGAGAATAGAAGTGGAAGGGGGAGGGGGGAGAGGTTGGTGAAGGTTGGGTGGTATGAAATGGAAAACATGAAAAGGAAGTTGAGAATGATAACATTCGAAAAGTGGAATTGGTTGCGAAATACTCATCTCGTGAGGTAAGCTGTATCGGCGATGTGAATTGCGATTTGATAGAAGTGGTGTTCGTATGTTGAAACAGTTAAGTAGAAAGCTTAAATCTAATATGGTAATATGATTAATGACGTCATCATCTTAACCATAATGAGATAATGATGAGATGGTATGTGTGGTTCATTTAGATGATTATAGAGAAAGGTGAAGTTGACATTGAAGTGAGCGGTGCACTTTAAGCTTTCGCAATTGAGGAATTGGAGATGAAATGTCAAACAACTCCATCAGATTCTCATTGTATAGTCAACTGAATTTTATAATTTATATGATATAGTTAATAGTTCAAATAACTTTATTACGCAAAACATGGATTATCCAATGTTGCCATTTATGATAAGCAGCTATATATGGAAGTAGTAGTAGTAGTAGTGAGAAGGAGAATGAGAGAGCAAACAAATAGCTTTGAAAATTAAAATTTGCATTATCCCCCTCAGAGTATGGTTTCCTGCCTATTTCTTTTAATTTTGTTCCTTCTCTCTTTCTTTTTTTATCAGTTCATCCCTCGTTTACGTGGAAGCTTTATCTCTCTCTCTCTCTTTTCTTTCTCTCTCTCTCTCTCTCTAGCCATATTCTACTCTCTCTGTCCGTGTACTTTAATGATTTCATTGAATCGCAACAAAAAAAAGCAGATCATGTTGAGAGAGCGAAAACGAAAAACGAAGACACATTCATTTGATGTGAGAGTCAAAGGAGAGCAAGAGAAAACGAGAGATTAGAAAAGCTGTGCGATGCGCGAATTGACGCCAGCTGTCGCCCGGCGACTGATCAATAGCCGCCGCGAGCATGGCTTCAGAATTCAAGAGAGCATTTTGTTGCGAATAGCCATATGAAATATAATGTGTAGAAAAGAGAGAAAACAGACAAACAGAGACACACGACAACTATAACCACCAGCGATATTGAAGAGCGAGAGCAACGACAACGTTGATGGCAATAGCTCCTCCCATTCAGTCGTTCGCGGTTCTTTCTTTCCTCTTTTTTTCTCTATCATCTCTTATTTTTCATGACTATTTTCAGTATACTTGTTCCATTTAACTACATCCTCTCTCTTTTTTTTTTCTTCTCCTTCTTCTTCCACCATCATCTTCCTATTCACTGAAGCCCTTACGATCACAGTCGTCGACCCAGCGGCTGCGACAACGACTCAAAACTGCTCGTGGGGCAAACGACAAAATATTTCCAGACGGCTGGAAATGGAAAAACTAAAATAAAAAAGAGTAAAGCTCGACTACGATGCAGAGAGACAGAGAGAGAGGAGGAGAGATGTTGGCAAGCAGCCAAACAACTTGAGTTAGTCTCAAATATACAAGTAGAGAGAAATAAAGAGTGATGTGAAGAAATGGGTGCAGAAGGGTGAGAGAAGGTAAATGACGTGTAAGGTTGGCATGTGTGACATTGTGTGACGTTAGGAACAGCTGTTTTCGGAGAAAATAAGAAATGACGTTAAAATGATATTAGACGCCAAGTGGAGCCCACACGTTACCAACAGAGAATGTTGCGATGATGATGATGAGAAGTAGGATGACGAACAAGAACGGAGGCTGCCCTTCATAAGAGATAGGGAGAGCCTGAAATGTTTCTATTCTGATGATAGTTGAATAGATTATATCCATATAGGAAGACGAGGGTTTTATAAAAGAGAGAGAGAGAGAGGGAGGTAGAAAGAGAGAGGGAGGGAGAGAGAGGGAGAGACAGCTGTATCAATTCATAAGTTGTATTGTACTAAAAGATGAAGCAATATCAACATGTAAAATACGGAATAATTGAAAGGGACAGTCCTAATATGGCATAGTTAGATGAGAGGATATATAGTTAATACGAATACTGTAAATAAAAAGAATATTTGATCAAAAAAAGTGGGACGACGATATGAATGATGAATGTATGGGCGGGTGTGTATGAGTGCAAAGCCAATGAGTTCTTGAACCATGTTTGGATGTAACACACGTGGCTTTTGCGTGGCCCGGAAGGAAAAAAAGTCTTCCGAGTTTGGTTAACGAATACATTAGAAGAAAAGGTTGAAGGAGGAAGACGAAAAACGAGAAGATGAAGAAGAAGGAGATGACGATGACGATCATGATGATGATGAAGAGACGGTGAGAGGCTTAAATTAAAGAGCTAGAGCCTCCAGATGTGGACAGCCCTATTAGGAATAGATGAGCGAAAGCTATAGATATCCTCGTGTACTATAGAAAATCCATAGAGATGTGTATGTGTGCATGTGTGTATGTGTATATGTGTGTGTGGTTAGAAAAAGGAAAGAAAAAGTTGAAATTTTTTTTTTCTTCCAACACTGGAAGCGTTTTTTGAGATTGAAGAGAGAAAGAGGAAGAGTGAAAGGGAGAGAGAGAGAGGGACGGGACTTATGGAACATATGAGTGAGATTGCTTGCTGGGAAGCTGAGGGATGATATTTGATCTTTATCAATTTCATAATTGGGATTTAAAATGATAAAAAAAGATTAAAAATTATGAGAAAATGGTGGAGTCAGACAAAGGAGAGAGGAAGAGAAGGAGAGAGGGAGGGAGAGGGAAAAGTAGAAGAGACGAAAAACCATGAAGGAGATGTAATGGCGAGAAAGCTCAACTCGACTTTTGGCTTTTGCAGTGAGGACATGTGTTCTTCTATCTATTCATTAGCTTCTCATATGTAAAAAATACTATTTTTACTCTTTGTGGGTCAGGAACGACAACGAGGAGGAGGAGGAGAAGGGAGAGATGGTGAGAGAGAGAGAGAGGATTTGAATGAACTTTTATCACGTATGGAAGTGTTGCCTAAGGCTCTTCAACTAAGAGGTCAGTCGGGTTAAAACCGCACGATGGCTTTTTCCATAATTCATGAGAAGAAGAGGACGAAGGGCTCGTTTAGAGTTCAAA